ACAACAGTGTCAATTCCTCAGGGAGGTGCCAGTCTCATCCTCTTGTTCCTCCCACACGGTTCTGGCGAGCTAAGCTAATGTTTATCTGCCTGAGTTTGGCCTTCATAATTCCATTCCATCACACATGCCCCATCTAAACAAAATAAAATTTAAGTAGTTGCTGAAATGTGAAATTACCCTAGTTTGCAAGTTCTCATGTGATCATGACAAAATCTTGAGGGATCTTACTGAGAACTAAGAAAAAATGCTGGCTATTAGCTTGAAAGAATTGTTAACGTGATTTCTTGTAGGGCAGGGATGAGCAAGGTGAGATAGTGCCCTATTTTCTTTCATTTTTTTCTCTCTCCTTGGAGGGTTGCAAGGGGGCACTATAGAGTTACAGCCATGAAAGGGTAGGCCCAACATTTCATTTGAAAGGGCTGGGTTTGGGGGTATTTATTCCCTCAAAATAGGTACATCAAACCTCCTAGAGGTTTTGTGCACCTATTTTATTTTCTTAAAAAGCAAGACCTATAGAAAATGGCCACTTGCCACCAAATTTCAGTGAAATAATCTTAGCTGTAGGGATTGCAAAAAAGAGGTTGAGGATCTGATGTGACCGGCAGGGACCAACCTAGGGAAAGCACAAGTCCAGGTCAAGAAAATGGTTTGTCTATCAGCTTGAGACCACTTAGCTTCCAATAGTTTAGTTCATTTTTAAAAAGATTTAGCAACTGTCAGCCACTTTGGGTACCATGGCAGAAAAGCTCTACAGATATGCAATAATGTACTAATATTTATTTTATTGATTTGATAATTGCAAGGGATGTTCTTTGGGCTCTTAATATTGAGTTCAATCACTTGATTGTTCCAGCAAGTAGAAGATTAAAAATGAATACCTAGATACTTGAAGATTTTAACTTGGTCAATAGGTCTCCCATTGATCTTCCAGCTAATTGGAGACTTAAAGTGCTTTCTTAAAAATACTAAAACCTTTGTTTTAGAATAACTAATTTCAAAGTGTTCCCTGGAGAAATAGAATGACAAGGCTTTAAGACACTGGTGCATACCCACATGTGTTAGATAAAAAGGCTGCATCATCAGCATGCGGGAGAATAGGGAAGGGACTCTGAACAACAGATGGAGGATGAAGCTTTGGCTTAGCAAAGATGTCAATCATACTGTTAATATATAAATTAAACTATAGTAGGGCAAGCATATGCCCTTGTTTTATGCCCTTTTGAGTATGGATAGGTTTGGTTAAATTGCCATTGCAACTGCTCTTTGAGTAGTGATGCTGTGGTACAATGCTATTATTAGTTTAATCGACATGACAGCTAGTTTCTTCCAAAGTCTACCATGTGGTATTGAATCAAAGGCTGCCCTTAAGTCAATGAAAGTGACATAGAGAATGCTTTTTGGTGGGTTAGAGTATTTCTCAGCTAAATGATGCAGAATTATATATTGGTCCATTGTTGAATGCCTGCATGATCCTGATGTTTGTAGGTATAGACACATCATGGCATCTGAATATTTTTTTTTTCAAGGCTTTCTTTGCTATTCTACCAAGTACTAGTCTGCAACGCATTTCTTGCTTGTTGATTTCTTTACTGTTGATAGGACACCTTGAAAGGCAGAAGCTATTCACCATTTCAGTATCTTCACTGTCAGTTCTAAGTCTGGCTGCTATACTTGCTTGTCATTCGTTTGGTCTTATTTATATTTATTCTTAGGTTTGTTTGTTTTTTCACTGTGCTCTTTGACTTTCATTACTTGAGACTGCAGACCATTTGCATCTTCAGCTATCAGAGTACTGTAATCAGCATAGCACAGGGCATTGATGTTTCTTGGTCCAATATAAAACCATGCTTATCTTCTTCTAATCCAGCCTTCCTCAATATAAATTCAACATCTAGTGAATTTCTCTCTCTAAGGAGAGAATATACAGCCTTGTCTCACTCCTTTATTGTCCAAAAGCCAGTCTATTTCTACATGTTCCATCCAGACGGTAGCGTCCTATCCTGTTTAGGTTCTTATGAGGACGGTGAGATATTCTGGGGTCACTCCTAAGAACACTCCATAGCTGTCTATCCATATGGTATCTGAACAACAACAAAAAATCCTTGGTAAAATGCAGGAGTGGTTTATATTGCCTCCTCCCATGCAGTATGAAATGATGCCTTTGGCAATGTCACTAAAGTGATAATCCACCTCCATCATTTTCTTTTATTGTTGTTGCCCAATATAGGTGCCTGCTTGGCTTAGCTGGGCAGCTGGGATGTCCTTCATGCTTTGGGAAACCATGCTGGGAATATATATTCTTGGCAAATACTCTTGACGTTGGCTGGTGTGGTTCTTCCGGGCTGTGTGGCCGTGTTCTGGAAGTTTTGTTTCCAAATGTTTCGCCAGCATCTGTGACCGGCATCTTCAGAGTGCAGGAGCACAGACAGGAGCAGTTCTCTCTGTGCCCAGGATGATGTGACCCTTCTGTGGGTATTTATAGAGGTCTGAAGGGGGGGGTTGGGGGGGGCGTGGGAAGAACTCTTGACGTTCTTCGTTCATCCCTTCCAGGAACACCCTTTGTCATGAAGGGGGAAGCAGATTTTACAAGTAGATAATTGTATTCCAGTGTTCATTTCTTTAAGCTTCCTTACAGAGATAACTCTTTTTCTCTACTACTAAATATCACAGGCTTAGTTGTTTTTTTTTAACTGTGTATGTTTGCAAGCTATATTATTGTTTTAACATGTATGTACATATGACAATTTCTAATTACTCTCTTCTCTATATCCTAGAGATAGGATAAAGAAAAGCCTAAATATATACTGGCTGTTCCCTTTTCTTTTTTAGATAGGCACTGACTTCTTCCCTTGACTTTGACTGGTACAGCGTCTTATCTTCTGTCTTCTTTGGTCCCAGAGAGGTCATCTGCAAAGGGTAAAGTCCTGCAGCGCATCCCCGTCTTCATCTTCAGTGAGCCTTCTGGATCTTACCCAATAACTCTCTTCAGCAATCTTTTCTGGAATTGCCCCTGAACTAACACGCCTTCTACAATATAACACTGCCCAGTTGAATTTACGTACACTAGTCAGGATTGTTCTTTAATAAAACAACAAATCTTTGACAGCTGCTGCTGTCTAAATCCATTTTAAGCTCTGGACACATTAGGAATTTTGAAAGTATGCTAGTACTCACAGAAAATGGCTGTTGAGGGGGAGCTCTGCCCATTCGGGAAATGGCTGTCTTGACAAAACAGCCAGTCTCAAAACACCCATTCTTCAGAAAGCAATACCATAAGGTCGTTCCACATCACCTCCTTTAGATCTTCCCACCCACTTACCTATTTTCCTCAGCAGGTGGCCCTCTTTACTGGACTGCAAGGTCCTGGGCTCCACAGGCCAGCAAAGCACTGGACTGTATCCATCGACATTTCTATTTTTACAGAATGCTTATCGGGCCTATCTGGGTTCCAGAAGGATTTTTAGAAATAAACATGATGCTGCAGAATGGCACTTTGGTTTGCACCATACCAGCTGCTTACCATTTATTATTTTAAATAAATGGTTACAATTAAACAAATCTAAACAAATGAAAAATCTCAACATCTGGATCAGCTTAGAAGCTAAACAGGATTGAGCCTGGTTAGACTTTGGATGGAGATCCCAGAATTGTAGACTAGACTAGAAGTCCCAAAACACCCCAGAATAAGATAACAATAAACAATTCCCATACTGTTGCCAAGATAACCATATGATCATGTCCTTCAAATCACCAGGAGCTAAGTTTGATTTGAAGAAGGCTTTATTTAAAAAAATAAGGAGACTTTGTTAGATGATGTGAGAACAAGATGGCCTACCCCTATTCTACGGCTGTTCCAAAATACTTAGTTCCTTCCATGTTTTAGCAAACATACCTAAAAAGGCAAAGAATAATGCTTCCTGTGGTCAGAGCAATGAGAGAAGCACTGTGTCCGAGGGTATAAATTGCTTTCACCCAAACATAGAAGACCTATGAAGAAAACAGGTATTTTAACTAATTACCATAAGCAGACATTTGAAAAAGATTCAGCAACATAGCTGCCTTTTAAATAGGGCAAAGAAATTATGCAAAGTATTTTTGTACCTTTCAGATGGAGATTACTCTCCTTTCCAGAGTCTTGGTCTATATAGCGAAGGTGGCAAAACACAGCATGCAGCCCTCTAGCATTTGTTTGTTTATCATTCATTCATTCATTCATTCATTCATTCATTCATTCATTCATTCATTCATTCAAAGATTTATAAGGCAGCCCAACTCAGATAGTGTGATACTCTGGGTGGCATACAACATAAACACACAATAAATCAAAAGAAAGAAAAAAACAAAGAAAACCGTCTAGCAACAAACAAATGATATATAAATACAAAATGTAAAATGGTGACCAAACACACA